AAAACTGTCACCAAGTCCTCTCACACAGCTCCTGACACCTGATGACACCACTCATGTGACTTCTGTCCTGGAGGAAGGGAGCTGTAGCTGTATGAACCTGATGGGTCTGGCTGAGCAGGCAGAGCTGTGCAATCATCCCAGAGCACTGCTCCTGGCAGCAGCTTTCAGTAAATCATGTGGTACTTCTAGGCTAGCTAGCATAAGCTAGCAATAATCTTACAGACCTAATAGACACAGTATCATCTGCAAGAATTTTCCAGGATGTCAGAAATCTCTTGTCTACCAATCACCACACCTTCAATTTACTTGGAAAAATGTTGTCTTTAAACTTCATTGTTTTCCAGTTATAGGTCCTCATACCTGTGCCCACACTGCAGCTGAATCTTCTGTTCTCCAGCTTTGCAGCTGGAGTCCCTCTCTCTCTCCCCTAAATGTAGTGTAGAAGGTGTCATGTATGTTTGTATTGCATCTGAGAGAATTCTCTTTATATTTCCTCTAAGATCTTTACTCCAGAACTGCTGTGATCATCATGAACAGATATCCAATCTGCTCCTTAGGGAGCAGTGACATACTGCCAAAACCAAAAATAGAGAAGAGGAATTAATTTTGGTTTGTGTTTTTTCCTCTTTGGTAAGTCTGGGGTGTCCAGTGACAGAATCCAAGGGAAAGGCCTGAAGATTGTGTCAGGGGAAGTTTGGGTTGGATATTAGGAAAAAGTTTTTCACCCAGAAGGTGGCTGGGCACTGGAACAGGCTCCCCAGGAGAGTGGTCACAGCCCCAAGCCTGGCAGAATTCAAGAAGCATTTGGACAGTGCTCTTAGGCACATGGTGTGACTCTTGGGGATGGTTCTGTGCAGGACCAGGACTTGCATTCAGTGATTCTGGTGTGTTCCTCCCAACTCAGTGCATTCTGTGATATGATTCCCTTGTCACATCCTAAGTACATGCTTTTCTCTTCAGACTTAAAAATCTTAATTTCACTGAAACCTCCTGTTAACAATCTTCATGCAGTCTGGGCTGGAATACTGTATGGCAGAGCAATGGACCACAACAAATAGAAAAAGAAAATTGTATTTTTCAGGCTTAAACATGGTGCCTGAAAAACTATTTGACACCACGGGCTGCAGAGCTGCTGGAGAAAAGTGTTCTTGTGCCCAGAGAAGTATTCCTAAACTGCTGCTGGCCACTATTAAAACTGAATGGATTTCTGGCTCTGAGTAGAGTGAATATTTGGTGACAAGTGTTGCTGACAGCTTTTAGGTGTTATAGCCTTAGAAGGAGAAGTAGTTCTGAGTAAATGCTTAATTCACAAGCTAGATCTATGTTGTTGGATAACTGGAAGTAAAAGGGATTTATAAGGAAAAATGTTATGAGTCTGGAGGCCTTGAGGAGATGAAGGGTGGCAGGATGATTTTTCTGTCAGCCTTTCAGGTCCTGTTCCTGACTGTGGGGACTTTATTTGCCAGTTTCTTAAATACTGTTTTAATGAGAATAACTTTTTGTCTTACTTATAGTATGGTTATGTTGCAATTACAAAGTCTTAGTTTTCATTTCTGTCCAAAGAAAAAAGGAGTGGATTTGTTTGGTATTTTGGCTGCTTAGAGGAGGATCACAGAACTATCAAACCTAGATTCTGACCACAGTTTCACTCTGCAATAAAATAAAATACAAAGTTCACCAGTGACTAAGCAGAGAAGATTTCAAATAATGTTCTCTTCCTTTAACTGCACTTATTTTTTATGAAAAAAGTTTTTCCCATCATTATGGTTTCTGAGTTGCCCAGTCAGAGAAGTCCTTTTAGCTGTGTATTTACCAAACATGTAATAGACACTGAAACCTTCAGCCAAGAGAGCCTGGCCTTTGTGGCCATGAATATACTCACACAGGACTCAGCCAGTCTCTGCTGAGTACAGTACCATAAACCCACAAAATGTTCCGTTTCCAAGGAAACTGAAAGCTCTGCTTTTTGACAAATGCACACAATTTGTTACTCATTTCTACTACCACACTACTTCAGAACTATTTTCCCCAGCCAGAAGAATATGTGTTTTCTAACAAAAAATGAGGAGCTGGATAGGAGCAGGACAAAGCTTTTTCCAGGATCACCATGGTTTCACCCTAACAGTGCACAACACTCACAATACCTCTCCAGAAAAGGTGCCTGATGAGTGTGGTTCAGAGGTGATCCCCAGGGGAAGTCTGCTAGCTTGGTGGCCTCATGACCTTGGGCCACATTTTTAAGGGTAGGCAGATAAAGGCTCATTGAGACTTTCAAATGCTCTTAGACACCTCTTTCAGCTTGAAATCAACTCAATACCACAGCTGCAGCCTGTCAAGAAAGTGAAGTGAGAGCTAACAGAAAATTCCCTTCCACTATTATACCAAGGTGCAGTGAAGTATGGCACTTGTTCTTCCCACCTCTCACACAGCACAAAGTAAGTGCTTGGTGCTTCAGAAAGCCCATAGCTGGATGGCTTGAGAACCACTCTCTGCTAATGTTATCATCTCTGCTGAGACCTTCTGCTGAGCTTCCCATGTCTGGGAAGGAGGACAAGGCAAAGAGAAGGCATGAGATTTTTATCTGTTGGCTCAGTGACAGCGTGGGTGCTCTCACTGGTCAGCAATCCAGGCTGGGTGATGCACAGGGTCCCCAAGGCAAGCACCTGCACTCAGGGTGGCATTTAAACCCCTGCTGTGTGGACTGTCAGGGCTAACTGTGCATCTGTAGTGAGTGAAAGACAGCAGTGGCAAGCACAAATATGCTTTTTGCCCCACTCTGAAACCCTGACTTTTAGATGTCTTATTATACCTGAAAGAAATGCTTCAGGCTGAAGTGGGACTTACTCCTATCCCCTGTGTCAGTACAAGACAACACTTTTAATAAGGAGACTTAGATATTTCCCACATGCAGTAAGAAAGGGAAATCCATTTGCTGTCACATGCTGCATCCTTGTTGGAGCTGCAAAAAGCTGCAGGATTGTATTAAGGTAGATAAGAGATAGAGGAAGGCTGTATTTGTAAAACTCAGGGTGAATGCTGCAGGATCTGCTCACCCTGAAGGATTGAATGGCAAATGCCTAACACGCATTTTAACCAACATCATTGCTGCAAGATGAGAAAGGTAGAACTTGTATTTCAGGAGTGGATAGAGTACTGAAAGATTTGGGAGAGAACTAAAGTTTTCAGATAGATTAGAGTTGAACAGGGACTTGGCTCTAAGCTGAGGACAAATGAGAGCTGAAACTGGAAATTCAGGTTTTGAATTAGGTTTCTGGTATCCCATCGGTAGGCCTGGTAACTTCTCAGAGCACAGTGCCACAAGTTAAACATTTATGTTGTTGTTGACCTTGCAAGATTGGCCAATCCTGGTCAGTTCTGATCAAATCAGGAAGGGGGGCACCTCCTAGAAACCCCCCAAGCCCCAAACAGAACAAGTTTATAGTTCTGGTCCCCATAATCCGCAAAATGAACTTGGTGGGGAATCTGTGCCATGCACTCCTAGTCAGCATGGATTTGAATAGTGTCAGGATTTAGATAAACTGAATTAATGCTATCAGAAGTTTTTGAAGTGCTGCATTTCTGATGTAATTTTCTCCTTTCATTCTCATTCTGTAAGCATCATTCAAGCTGTTTTCCCAAGAAACACCACTCAGCTGCACCTTATCTGTGGGTGATCCTGGACAGCATAGAAAAAAAGTAGCTTAAATCTTCACCTCAGGCCCCAGACAGCAAAGGATCTGCCATCACTGCCAGTAAAGAAATGGCAATTGGCATCATCACAAAATTATTTCAGAGGCAGCAGCCATTAAATAACACCTCTTTTAATATAAATTGACGATTTAAAATTTTTGGCATGATTTGCTGGGTTTGAGGTTCTTTTAACTTGTTAGAATCTGATTTTTCAATTAGATTTTTTTTTTTTTCCTTATACTTCCTAAACTTATACACAGTATTTAATCAATGTAGGACAATGTTGAACACGACAAACCCATGAGTGACTTGGCCTGATTTAATTCATAACTGACTCTGCTTGAGGAGGAAATTGAACTAGGTGACCTTCAGTGGTCCTGAATTTTCCCATGATGTAAATAAATCTAGGAAAGTTATGATGAGAAGTCTGAAATCTGAACTCCCACATCCCACTAATATCACCTCAGTGAAAAAACCCTTGCATTCTCTTGTGGCATTGTTAACTTGCAGGAAAGAAGTTTAAATGGCATGATATCTTGTTTATTGTTTCAGTTTATATTAACATAATTTCCTTCAGCTGTATTTACTAATATCTTCTATGATGACTTTATCCAATTCAACTCAAGGCAATTGCCTGATATGAATATGGTTTTATAGTAATAAGAGTACCTTTTAGACCCTCAGACATAACTATTTCAAGTTATGCTGAAGCCAAATCAAAGTGTTCATGCGGTTGATGAAAATGATTTTGAATTAACCACATCATTAGCTGTTCTGGTGACAGGGGAAATTTGAATTCTGGTGTGTGGAAATATTTTCTAAGGCTCAAAACTCTTGCTTTATTTCAGTCCATGATTTTGTTCCTATAGCTTTATTTGCCTATCAAGTTACTGATTGGCATTACAAAACCATGTTAAAAAACGCCCTTGTCCAAAAAAATCAACATATTAAGGCTTGGACATGTCTGGGACATAAGCAAAGTTTAGAAATGTCTGAAAATGTATTTATTTTTCAAGGGCAGAAATCCTTAATGACATACCTTTCTTTTTCTTAGAGAGTGTTCAACCAATTCTGTGCTAAACCATATGGTATCTAGTCCTCTCTTTTCCATCACTGCCTTTGAAATTCAAAGCAGATTCTGTGTGAAACTGTTTGTTTATTTTTGGAAAACAGCTAGACTAGGAGAAATGTGCCACTATAGTATGCATATTTGTGGAGAGAAAAAAAGTCATTAGGATTTATTCTTTTTCATTTTACATTATACTCAACATTAAAATTCTATTTAGTTCCGCTCAGTACAGAAAATTTACCTTAGGAAGATATCTTTAACTGACTTGGATGATCTCCTAATTTCAACAGCTGCTGAAGAAATATAATTTGTGATCTAAGTAAAACACAATCCTCTTTAGTGACTGTAAGGAAGCTGAGGTTTTCCAACAGATCTGCAAAAAACAAAAATCCCTCATACTTCAACATACCTATTTGAAAAATGCAAAAATTAGCTCTAAAAGCATCAGTGTAAGAAAAAAAAAATTATAAAAAGGCATTTCTCTCAACAAAACATTCAAAAATTGTATTTAAACATCTGCTTTGAGTTTGGACTGTTTTTAAAGTGCATTGCACTTGAGTTTTGGCATAGAACCTGTAGCTCAGGTTCTTCATGCCCGTTCCACTCTTGGTGGACCAAGCAATCTACACTGTCTCCCCCCCTGAACACTGTGCTTTTGAGAAAAGGGGAATACAAGGGGATCTAGACTGCTCTCCCTGTTAAGTACCACAGTAGCCCATGCAGGCACATGCTGTTTTTTTAATCCATCTAATCCAAAGCGCTGAGCATAAATGGAAAATTAGGGACTAAATAACTTCTTAGTGGTAGAGCCAAAATTTATAGAAAAATTAATATTACTTCTCTCCAGTCATTTCCAGAAAGATATTTTCTCTTCAGAGACACTTCTACAAAAAAAAAACCAAAAACCTGCTGACTAGGTCTCTTTGTTGGAGAGCAGCACAATCTGGCAACACTTTATTCTGGCCCCTGATGGTTTTTACTCTTGTGCCAGCAACTGGGGTCACAGATTTGTCCGTGCCCGTCCTATGCCCCATGGAATTATAAATGTTCAAAGGCCAAATAAATACTTTAGATGGCATTTCTGATTTTTTCTTTTGCTTTTTTGGATGAGGAAAAGAGAAGATGTTCTCCAGCTGTGTGGAAATAGAGTTCAAATCACAATCATTACCCCATTTTACACAAACCACTGGATTATTTGTCTAGGATTCAGATAATTAATGATGAGCAAAGGGAAATTCCTATTTTTACTGAAGACATAGCTCATTTTGCTAGATAGAGTTATTTTATATAGCTGGGAAATGTGGCATACTCTGTTCCTGTAAAGGGGGAAAGATAAAAGCTTTGAAGTATTAGAGGCTAAACTTTTTAGTGGGGCATAACTCTTAAACTCCCTTGGAGGAAGAAAAAAAAAAAAGAGAGAGAGTTATGACAGTTGGAGTGTTTCTTAGGAGTTCTGTCGATACTGCAAAACTGATGTGCCATGAATAGGTGTTTGAGGCTGCCATCTCATCTTGGGGCTCCATACTATGTAGGATTGTTGCATCTCCACATTTTCATTTTTGATTGAGGTTCATTTCTGGTTTTGAAATTGTGGGGCTTTTGCCTGAAAATACCTGAATTTGAAAAATGAGTTCCCTTTATAGGGGAAAGAAGAGGCATAAATAGTGCCCTGCTATGTGATGACAAAATTTGGAGGATCAGGGACTGTGAGGAAATCAGCCAGGGGAATCACAGACAAACACCAAATTGCAGAGTAGAATTAGAATTAGGAATAGAATTAGGAATAGAATTAGGAATAGAATAGAATAGAATAGAATAGAATAGAATAGAATAGAATAGAATAGAATAGAATAGAATAGAATAGAATAGAATAGAATATAATAGAATAGAATAGAATAGAATAGAATAGAATAGAATAGAACAGAACAATTTCAGTGTGAGGGGGCCAGCAATGATCTTCTGGTTCTTTCCCATGGGAGAGACAGAGGTGATCTCCTGTCCTCAGCCTGCAGAACAGTGATAAATGAAAAGTTGCATCAGGCCACTCTTGTTCAATACCCCATCATTTAGAAAGGACTCAGAAAAAATGCAAAACCATAGGAAGAATATAGTACTTTCCCACAATACTTTGAGTTCCAGAAGTAATCTGCATTGCCTCAGGGCAATTCCCTCTGGAAATCTGATGTGGTCTGATGCATCTTGGGCACATATATAGGCTGCTGCTATTTTTTATTTAGGTATGCATTTTATATAGATGTGCAGACTCACTGTGTAAAGTCATGGTCCCTGACCCATGGCAAGATATTTACGTGGCCTCTGACATTTTCTTGCAGAGACAGGAAGTAAAGAATAGAATTCTGAAATGTGCAAAGGATTTCACAGGGAAACTTGTAGGGGAAGGAGGTGCCTGCAGCATGTTATGTGGTCAGCACAAAACATGTTAGTCAAGAGCTGTGGGAGTCTGAAAGGAGATCTGGTCAGCAGTATCTGCCACAATTAGGCATAAACATGTTTCCAAACTTCCCCAGAGCTGCTCAGTTTGTTTTCTTTCACCATACCACTCTACAGAGACGACTGGAAGTGGAGCTCCAACAAGCGATTTCCTCAGGCTACTGAGTGATCCATGAAGTCAGCACCAGGGCTAGGAATGTGATGGTCCTTGGATGGCAATCTGCAGAAAGCTACCAGGATGTTCACAAAGTTATTAAAAGAGCAGAGCAACTCAGGCCAAGGAAGCGTGTGCTCACTGTGCTGAGGTGTAATCACATCTGCCAGTGAAGTGGGAGAATATTTCATTCTCTGTCCATCCAGGAAATGGGAAGGTAGTGGAAAGCATTAAAATGTTTCCAGAGCACTGAGACAAGGATTTGCACATAGTGATCACAAGTAGTCCTTTCCAAGGTACTATCAATTATATTACCTTTGGAGGGGGCAGTGGCATTTCTACCAGGAAGATTTCTGCCCTGCACTGCTTTGGCTGTGTCTGACCAGTAGATCAGACTTTGTGCATAGTCTCATGAGCTTAAATTTCTTGCCCATGTGAAGATTTGAGAAAGGTTGAGTGTTATTAAAATTCAGTGTGCACTGGGCTTTATCAAGAGTTAAAATATTTATCGAGCCACAGCCCATCAATAATCACAGCAGAGAGTGCTGTGGACTTAGCTCAGTTTCAGATAATAGCAATGTTGCCACCATATTAACTTGCAAGATAGATGGAAATGAGAATATGATTAATCATTGTGAGCCTTGCTTGGCTGATGTGTGTTTGCCTTTTAGGTAATGTATATGCATGACTTTTTTGAATGCACAAATATCTATTATGGATGTACTGCCACACAGTTTCTTTCAGATTTAGTTAAATAGAGTGAATCATTTTGAGAGGAGTCAGGCAGTTTGAATACTTTGCATTGCGGTCACAGGCGAACAAAACTCAGCAGTATCCCCACACATCATGTGCATGCAATTTTTAGCAGCGTTCATTTCTACTGTCCAAAGTACATGATAGGTGTTTTAAATCACTGACATATTATGAAAATTCCCTGTACTTTTCCTTATGTGTAATCCCATAGCTTTTTCAGGCAAGTGACGGCGAAAGGAAGGCAAGGGTAGTATTTTGTGATACCTTGATTCTTCAAGATAAATAGCATTGTTCTGATAAAGATCAGCACAATTGTTGTGGTTTAACCCCACCTGGCAACTAAGTTCCATACAGCCACTGGCTCATCCCTCTCTGTGGGATGGGGGAGAAAATCAGAAGGGTAAAAATGAGAGAACTCCTGAGTTGAGGTGAATGTGGAAAGCAAAATCCTTGCACACAAGCTAAATAAAACAAAGAGTGCATTTCCTATGGGTGTTCAGCCATCCCCAGGAAGCCTCTGCTCCATTACATGTACAGGTTACTTGGGAAGAGAAATGCCAACACTCTGAGCATCCTCCCTTCATCCTTCTTTGTCCAGCTCTGTGTGCTGAGCATGATGCCATGTGGTCTGGGATATCTCTCTGGTCAGGTGGGGTCACCTGTCCCAGCTGTGTCCCCCCCAGCTCCTTGTGCAGCCCCAGCCCTCTCGCTGGTGGGGCAGGGTGAGGATCTGGAAAGTTCTTGGCTCTGTGCAAGCCCTGCTCAGCAATAACAAACATGCCTCTGTTACATCAGCACAAACCCAAAAGATAGCTCCATACTGCCACTATGAAGTTAACTCTACCCCAGACAAAACCAGAACACTAATGGCCAAAAAAGAGAAAACTGTTTTTTCATGCTTGCAGCAGACTGGCAATGAATTCAAATTTGTATGATTATCTATTTCTTTTGGAGTCCAACATTACCCTTGGCAGGGTAGGTATACAAATATGTATTTGAAAATAAGTGTTTCCATGGGGCTGCAGCATATGGAAGTTTTGAAGACAAGAAAATTTTGTAGAGGTGAAAGATATGAAAAGTTGCTTCAGGCATTGTGGCTTCCACTTATACAGCCTAGAGATTTTTTTCCAGCTGTCTGGATTTGATGCGTATCTTCTCTTTTGAATATGATTGTAGGCAAACTGGCTCTGATCTTTATATTACCAGTCAGCAGAAGCCTTTGAATGTTTCCAAGGTGCTGTGTAGCTGATCATCTTTCCAGCCTTCTGGTGGAAAGATAAAAGATTTTGATGGGGCTTATCAGAGTTCTGTTTCAAATACCTAAAAGCTTACTCTACATCCCACAGGTCAAAATTTTAGAAGAAAAATTGTTTGATGCAATACTGTCTTGTTTAGAGGGAAAAGAAGCATATGTTCTGGGAGAATCTCACAGGATGTCTAAGAAACATATTTCAACTCAAGATTTAGACTCATCTAGGCAAATAAAAGCTTGAACCACTAAAACCACCATTTTCTGGAATTAAAGTTCACTTTCTATTGGAATGTCCAGGTCTTAAGATTTTGTTTACTGGATGAGAAAGCGACATTTTCTGTAAAAAAAAAAAAAAAAAGAATTTTAAAAAAATCTTTATTTTATTGGAAAATCAGGTCTAGGCTGTTTGGATAATAATTATTTGTCAGATACATCTGAACCTTACATTTGTATTAATCCCTCATGCCCAAACCAATCTTTTCAAAGTGGGTCCCAGCCTTTGGCTTTCTCAGGCACAGCCATACCACCAGCTCCTGCAGTCACAGCAGTAAGACTGAAGATATGAACACTAGAGACAGCTATGTTCTCTCATTTTCTGTCTGAGAACACTCCACTTCCTTGGCAACAACCCTAAGGCTTATTGCTGCCTTCCTGAGCTTCAGCTGGGATACTCATGAGCAGAACCACATCATAACCAGTGAGACAGGAACTCAGAAACGCTGAGCTGTTTAATCAGACCAGAATCTTTGTTGCAATCCAACAGTTTCTCCCCACCCAAGTTATAAAACTATTTCCTAATCCTCTCTTCCAAGAGATGGAGAATTAAAAATTGTCTGGAGGTCCTGACAAGATCAGTTAGGATTTTTAATATCCTTGTTCTGCTAAATTTCCACTTTCTGGGTGGAGGTGTGAAGAGTGTATATTCTTGTTTAAGTGTATATGGATGTTACAGTTCTACAGACTGTAGCTGTATGATTCCATATGTGCTTACCTTCTCCTGATGTTAATGGAAGCTCGGTGGAAGTGCCCTTGTGGAAGAATGTTTTAGAGAAGGGACTATTCAGCTAGGCAGGGTCTTCCTGTTAACACTTTTATTGCATTTCTAGAAGAAACCTTTCTTGCTGTAAGAAATAATGAGAAAATCAGCTTGCTTGCTGACCTAATCCAAAACCGGTTATAGAGTGTGTACTCACTGGACAGGACCAGAAATACCTCAGCTTTCTAAATTCACAGGACCCATTTGTTTTACTCACACTGTATTTAACACAGCTGCTCTTAAAAGGGAGCATGTCCAGCAGAGCTCAACATCATGCACTGGGTCTGGTCAGTGACATCCGTAGACATGGTGATGGATGGAAACCCCCATCCTTAAAAATTAGTGCCTGTATTAAATGAAATGGACTTAAATTTAATATTCACCACTGCAATATAATATTTTTTATTAATTTTTTTTAATTGCAATTCATTATTTAATTCAACTAGTAGCAAACACCACACAGAAAGAAAAAATATATTTCAGTCATAATTTCTTGAACCAAGTGTATAGCTGTTACTACTGGTGCTTGAAAATTTTCTTTTTGGGCCAGTATCATTTCTCCATGTTAAAGCTGAAAAGACTGGTTAGGATCTGGAGACTGAAAATAAAGGAGACACAGGCTATCAGGGAGTTGTATCATCAGGAATCTGTGAAATGGAACAGGTTTTTGTGAACACTCAATGGTCAATATGAAATAATAGGATGTCAGATGTGGTTTTTAAGAGATGAAAATCTTTAAACTAAGCAGTTAAAAGAATGTGAGCTAGGAGAACACTTACTTCATCACTGTATTGTCAGCAGAAACACTATTTTCTGCAGTCATTTGAAATTACAGGCAATTATAATTAGATACCAGAGAGAACTGCAGGCTGGCTGGCTCAGAGGCAGCACCTCTGTAGTGCTGGGGCTCTGACACCAGGAAAATGCATCACGATGGAGCACTTGAAACTCTCCAAGGAGCAGAGGCAGAAGTGGAGGGGTTCTACCCCCATGCTGCCGCTGGTACAGACTGTGAGGAGGGAAAGCTTTTCAGGCAGCACAACAGCAACTTCATCTCAGCACACCAGTGTGAGGCTGCTGCTC